AAGACCAACTCAAACTCTCTTTATTCATTTTCAAAACTCTGACCAATTACAAAGCAGTAAAAAGACTCTAGGGCGTAACCTTCAATCATAAAGCCAATCACACTAAGTACTGAATACGTCATATCTTTTGATTAATCGTTCACTACATTAATAACTATGAATGTCAGAATAGCGACGGTATCTTGTAATTAGTTCCAAATCACTGAGCCAAGTTCCGTCCAAAACTTCAAATAGACCTAAACGATGACAGACATAACACAGCAATTCGCTAATAATCAGTTAATTAAGTCGGTCAACAGATACGCGAAAACAAATTCATGACATTACTATGGTGATCAGCCCCTCTAAAATAGTAAACCTAGCTGGTCAGTGTGCATGTCAATCAAACTGCGCTCTCAAATCTACATTAAAACAATCTCCAAGTACTGTACGAAACATCAACAGAACCGCCGTGTCAATACTCGTCATTTTATTCATGAAAGTGGCTCTGTACATCTTGGTGACTCACTTTTTTATGATTTTAATAAAATTATGTACAAAAAAAGAAGTGAAATACTTTCTTAAAATTTTTATTAATGGCAATTCTCATACACATCATACGTGTCGTCTTGTACCGTGCTCCTGCTCAAGCTGTTTTAAAAAAAACTGCTCAATAAGTATATAGTAATGATTATACTATATAACCATTGGGACTATCAACTTATCGTTGATGGGGGTGTTTGCGCTCTCAGTAACCTTGAGTGCTATATACCGCCGGGAGTCTTGTACTCCTGGTCGGGTCATCCAAGACGGAAAGGTTGACAGGTAGAACCAGACGGCTATAGTCCCCTCGTATTCCAGGTTGTGGTTTGGCTTTAGGCTGATAACCTAATCCATAATTACATAAACCAGATACCGAACGAATACTACTGAGCCTAACAATTTCGGGGAAGCCATGGTCCTTACAGGAGTGCAATTAGGAATTAGTGAGACACATTGGACTTGGCATGGAAAATACAATTTGCTGATGGAATGTCAATCATCTACTCAGTATGAGACGACAAGACACACATAGGGGAGTAACTATAATGATGATCTGTGAAGTATTTCAAGCACTTAAAGACCTTTACTTTTATTTAGTATTTAAGGGGGATGTTGAAGATAAAATGGCAAAACCATGGTACCATGAAATACTAACCAGGATTGGAATGGAGAAATTGAGCACTATAGTAATGAAGAGGAAATGGAATTTGTTTGGGCGCACTTTAAGAAAGGAATCTACAAGTATGTGTAACACGACATTGGCATATACCCCAGCAGGGAAAAGAAAACAAGGGAGACCCAAACAACATGGATGAAAGTCATGGGCTGAAGCCAGATTTGCAGCAGCTGAGTGGACAGAATGGAGACGTTCGGTGAAGGCCCTATGTGCCACTGGCACCTGGAGAATAGATAGATAGATAGATAGATAGATAGACAGATATATGTAATAAACCATTAGCCATGTAAAAAAATGTCCTAAAATCACAATTGTCGTGGTGGTTTTACATGTTTTGTTGTGCAAAAAGTCGTATAGTGACCACGTATTTTATCTTTGTTATGAACAGCACTATACAACTTTACATTAAGGAAATACAATCGTCTGTTTTAATGATTGCTAACTACCTTATATACCTGTTACATAAATTGCTTACCCAAAAACTATCCCCTGAGTTATCCAATTCACAGCTTCAAACCAACCACAATTTTTCCTTCTTAGATTTTAATCCCTGTAATCTAGCCAATATCAAATGGCGTATGTCGGTATTATGAATGATCTCATAGTTGCAGCCGCAAGAAGGCCCAGACACGACGAAACATATTTTAGCATTACTAGCAAAATAACCGAGACATATAAACCTGAAGGGCTGAAGTGGTATTAAACACGGATAATATATGAATGTTAAAATGTTGAAATATTGTATATAGAGTGGAAATCAGAGACATATCATACACAAGATGGAGTGAAGGATAGATCCTTACACAAGAAAATGTTTTTTTAAATGTCTGCATATGTAGTATAGGTCAGGATATAGTTAAGTGATGATAGAACAGTCATATACTATTTTTGGCAGAACTGAATATAAATTACTGTGGGCTTTACTATCGTTCTACTTCTCGGTGATTACTTTATTTATCTGTTTGTATTTTGGCTTACGTATTGCATAGTATGAATATTTGCAAACTGCACCCTAAATGTTCTCAGTTTATCTGTATTAAAAGTTTGTTATTCATTATTTAACAAGGCTTTTTGTATCAAGTCTGTGTGAAATCATTTACAACTTTGACAAATCAAATATATATTTGATGATGGTGCAGATTAGTGAGGCAAAAGTTTTGGTATGTTTCAAAATAGGTACAAGTGGTCATTAGTTAAAAATTGCATTGGCTAATGAAGTTAGATAGACCAACACTAGACTTTATTATCCATTATGTTAATCCAGATTTTTGTAGGCGGTATTTGTAATGCACCAGTCATATATGTGATATCTTCCATATTCACAATCTGGAAAATGTTTTATTTCAACTGTTTGTGAATGTCAGTTGAAAACAAATATTTGGATAGTCTGTATATATGTTCACCAACATGTTATTGTGGATGTATTGGCATTCTATGTAGTTGTAAACAAAGAGAACAATAATGAATAGGCGGTCACACTACGTCTCTCCGAACAAAAAATCGCTTGCATATATGAAACGTCCAGCGAAGCCGCGGGATTCTGTCATATAATTTATTATACAGTTACATCATAGTATACTTTTAACAATCGCTCGATAGTTCGGCTATAGCTCTGCTGTATTATTGACATGATATATCGGTTTTGGTATTTGATAATTATGAATACAAAACAGTTGTAATGTATGCAGGAGGGTGTTCTACGGAAGACATGAAATTGTCCATACTAAAAATTATGAAAAATGGTCAAATTGCGGCTCCTTGAATACTAACACTCGGTCACTTCGTACAACATGGCCACTTGTAACACAGGGTCACTTCATGGCAGACGGTTGATTCATACCTAACGGTCACTTCGTTCTATGCCACTACTTGTGGTGCTCGTTTTAGGCTATTGCACGTACGACATAAATATTGTGTTCCAAGTAACTACGTTCCTACGTTACGACGGTTGTTATAAATGAGGTACGGATACAACAAGTTGACTGCTATGCACATCTTTGAATTATACTACTTCAACGTATATCGGAGGCTTGTCAAAAAGAAAACAATTAGTCAATTCTAGCATTGTTTGGGATTTTCTTCATTGTAGCTTGATTCCCCTTCTATGTATGACAGTATGTGCTCTTGTTGGTAGACCTTGAAGCAGTTTCGCTGCATAACGTTGATAC